TCACCAGGGTTCAGAATGCCGGTATGCGGCATTTGATGGAAACTATGATCCGCAGGACATTTATATGAGTTCACGACCTGATTGAGCTCACCATGTTTCGGACTTGTGAAATGCCGATGTTTGGCTGTGACGTACTTCCACGCCAAACAGTGGTTAAGGTCGCTCCCAGCGGGATCGATCAGTTCGTGGGCTCAGATGAGCACGACGTTCTGCGGCATTTCCAAGCCAACCAGAAATTTTCAATGCCTTTGGCTACCTCAGCAACATAAGGCAAGAAAGAGACGAATCCCTGCAGTCTTACATTGACCGCTTCCACAGGGAACTCAACAAGGTGGCTTATGCCCCAGAAGATTCCATCCGAACTCTTATAATAGCAGGAGTTCGCCCGCAAACCGACCTGTGGAAGGAGCTGCAGGCTGAGGACGATATTCCCTCACCAGATTCTACAACCTGGCGGAAAGTATCTCCGAATAGAGAATATTGGCGGCACTTCGCCATCGCGATCACGGCCCTCCAGCAGTAGTGTAGGTCGGGGAGATAACAGGCAGCTGATCGTAAAGGAGACAATGGCTATCATGAAAGGGAAGAAACCGTACGAGCAGAAAAAGTCCTGCTTCCTGTCCCGTCACGACCACGACAGGCCATACACTCCGTGAATGTGTCCATATCTGCGATCTCGACAAATCCGAGGAAGCCCGCCTGCTCGGTGAAAACCCATGAAAACTCCTGCAACGGCCAGGAACAGCAAGAAATACTGTCGTTACCTCGGGATAATGGGCATCACATGATAGTGCCGAGCTCTAAGAGCTATCGAAGAGCTTATCAAGAAGGGGCACTTCAAGGAGTACATTGACGACTCCCCAAAAGAAAACCAAGGGGAGCGAAGAAACAAGCGCCGTGATCGCAGCTGTACAGCGTGTGAACCAATTTTCGGAGGTGCAGCACTCGCTGGAAACACGCGGGGGGCGAGGACAGGTATGCTGGGAAGCGCATCATAACCCGATCAGGGTCGAGCACAAGCAGCGACCTCAGAAAGCCAGGAAGGAAGAACCAATCACCTTCTGCGAGAAGGAGGCAGTCGCTTGCACCACACCGAGGACGCTCTGGTAATCACACCCCTGATTGGATGTCATAATGTCTGCAGAATGCTTGTGGACAATGGAAGCGCTGTGAACATTCTGTTCAAGTCGCTTTGATAGAGAAACCGGCGAGGCGACCTGAAGCCAGCCTCGATGCCTCTGTACGGTTTTACAGGGGATCACCTGATCCCAGCGGAACAATCCAGCTCCCAGTCACGCTGGCGACTACGACGAGGTGTGACTAGGGTTACAGATCCTGGTCGTGGACTGCCCATCGGCCTTCAAGGAATCCTAGGGCGACCTCTACTGAGAACCTTCAAAGTGGTCACTTCCATTTATCATCTCAAGTGAAGTTCCCCACTCCATCGGGGATTGGGGAGGTAAGGGGTCGCAAAGGGCAGCCACGCGAGCTAAGTAAAAGGTCCAAATGGCGACAAGGGAAGGCGTTTCGCGGTGCGCGCCCCCGTCAGGTATGGCGATCAGCCGGATCGAGCCACAACCTGGTCGAAGATAATACAGACCACGAATTCAGGAAATCCCCCGAGCGGCCGGTTGAGGATCGTGCCGAAGTTTCGGTTGATCCAAAAGAGCCGAGCGGATGCTAAAGATGGGAGCTGTCTCAATCCCAGCCGCTTTGAGCTGGTAAGCTTCTTGAGGAGAACATTGATGTGTTTGCCTGGTCGCATGCAGATATGGTCGGGATCAGCCCGAATTATTTGCCATCCCTGAACCGTAGTGAAGCTAAGCCAGTTGCCAAAGAAAGGGCGATAGATCCAGGTGGTATGCCGCGTTAAAATCAGAAGTGGAGAACCTTCTCCAAAATGGATCTATTCGCGAGGCTCTCTACCCGACCTGGGTTGCCAACCCGTCCTGGTAAAGAAGCAAATGGCAAGTGGGAACCTACGTAGACTTCAGGACCTGAACAAAGCTTGCCGAAAGACAGTTTCCCGCCAAGAATGACCAGCTCGTTGATGCCACCTCGGGACACGAGCTGCTAAGCTTCATGGATGATACTCGGGATACAATCAAATTTGATGTATAGCCAGATGAGGAGTATACGACCTTCATTACGGATCGGGGGCTATACTGCTACAAATGATGCCCTTCGGCCTCAGCGCAGGTGCGACTATCGAGGTTGGTCAACGAATGTTCTCGACCAAATCGGGAGGACAATGGAGGTCTATGTGGAGACATGTGATCAAGTCCCAGTCGCCTCAGAACATATAAGCATCTCGCTGAGATGTTTGACAGATCCGGCTTTACAGATGAAGCTGAACCCTCTCAAATGTTCATTCGGGGTAGTCAGGAAAATCCTAAGGTATATGGTCAATCAGCGGGGCATAGAAGTAAACCCCGAAAAGATTCAAGCTCTGCTTGATATGGAGAGCCCGACCAGCAAAAAGCAGGTCATGAGTCTGAACGGGCGAATAGCGGCACTCAGTCTTCATATCAAGGCTAACGAACGCTGTTTTACCATTCTTCAATGTTTTGAAGGCAACAAGAAATTCGAGTGGACTTCAGAGAGCGAGGCATTCCAGAGTGTAAAAGAGCATTTGGGAAGCCACCTCTCCTCTCTAAACCTCTTCCACAGGAAATATGCTCATCTACCTGTCCGTGTCTCAGTTCGCAGTCAGTGCGCTTTAACACGGGAAGAGGAAAAAGCTCAGTGGCCAGTATATTATGCAAGTAAAGTCTATCGGAGTCGAGATGCGGTATCTGGAAATGGAGCGACTAGCTTTTGCCTTACTGGTCGCGTCCAGAAAGCTACGACTTACTTCCATGCCCATAAGATCAATGTAATGACAAATTACCCCTCAGACAGGTCCTCCAGAAACAGAGGCCTCAGGTAAACTGCTCAATGGGCCATGGAGCTAAGCCAGTTCGACCAAAGTATACGCCCAAGTCGACCATAAAGGGCAGGCTGTTGTAGACTTCATCTCGGAATTTCCTATCTCCCAAGCGAGCAACAGCCTAGCGAAGTCGGGCAGAAACTATTCGGGACCTATCGACTGGACATACGTCGACGGATCATCAAACAGGAAAAGAGCTGGTGTGGGACTTCTCCTGGTGAGGCCGAGGGGGTGAATTCATGGTATTCTCCGGTTCAGGTTTAAGGCGCACAACAATGAGTCCGAATACGAAGCTCTGCTCGCCGGGTTTTGACTCGCCAAAGAGATGGGTGCAACCGCGATCAGTATTACAGCGATCCATGCTGGTCGTCAACCAGATTCTAGGAGAATACCAAGCCAAGGAGGGAACATGGTCCGCTACCTGAAAGAAGCTAAGGTCTTCTGGGGTGTTTTAGCACTTTGAAATCGCTCAGATCCCTAGGGAGAGCAACTCTATAGCGGAGCCCTTGGCAAAGATAGCTTCATCATTAGATTCTGAGGCTCTGTAGCATTCCTGTTCGTTTTGTCGACGCTCCGACTATCAGCTCGACGAACAGGCATGAACGTGGTTCAGTCAGACTCCTGGTGACTCCCATTGTACAGTACCTCAAGGATGGGACCTTGCCTAGCAACAAGGTCAAGGCAAGGTCCTGCAGTAAGGTCTGCTCGCTTCACACTATCGGGGATCAGCTATACAGGAGAGGATTCAGCCTTTCTCCTCCGATGTGTAACTAGTGAAGAAGCAGATACATCATGAGGGAAATTCATGAAGGATCTGTGGCAACCACATAGCCGCCGATCTCTCGCGAACAAAAGGTTCGTGCAGGGTATTATTGGCCAAATCCAAGAAGATGCGCACAACTTTGTCAAGAAGTGCGACAAATGCCAGCGGTTCGCGAACATTCCGCGAGCACCATTCACGAGCTGAATACTATGTAAGCCCCTGGCCATTTTCCATGTGGGGGATCGACCTTATCGGCCCCATGCCAGTTGGAAAGGGAGGGGTCAAGTACGCATGGGTCGTAGTAGACTATTTTACAAAATGGGTCGAAGCGAGCCGCTAGCCGCGATCACGACCAGGAAGTAAGAGACTCTTTCTTCAGAACATAGTGTGCCGTACGGAATTCCTCACACCCTCATCCAGATAATGGAAAGCAATCGATAACGAGGAGTTCAAGCAGTTCTGCGACGAGCTGGGCCTCATAAAAAATTTGCCTCAGTGCCAGGCCGCGAATGGCAAGTTGAAGCAGTCAATAGACCATCAAGCACACTCTGAAGGCCAAGCTCGGGCAGCCAAGGGAAATTGAGCTGACAACCTCCCCGAAGTTTATGGGCATCAGGACAACTCCAAGGACCTCACCTCGGAAACCCATTTTCGTTAGCCTGGCTGCGAAGCGTGATCCCTGTAGAGGTCGGGACGGTTCTCTTCGGAGGGACCTATACAACGAGGACGACAACAAAGCACTTCGAGAGCAAGTTTGGATCTATTGAAGAGCGTTGCAGCAAGGCTTCGCTAAGGATAGCAGCCTACCAGCAGCGAGCAAAAGGTTCTTCGACTCAAAGGTTGACGAAGAGACTTCCAGGTCGGAGACCTGTGTGCTAAAGGAAGTTCTCCTCGGGACCAGAGAGCCAAATGCGGGGGTACTAGGGCCTAACTGGGAAGGTCCGTACCGGATCGACAAAGTGATCAGACCGGGGCCTACCATCTCAAAAGATTGAACGGCTCCAAGGTACCCTGAGCTTGGAATGCCGAGCACCTTCAGCCATACTATCAGTAATCCCAACTCAGCTCAGTTCTTGATAATTTCTTTTCAAGTATTACTCTGTTCATTAAAACAGTTCGAATGTATTCTGTTCGCATGTAAAATTTATATGTAATCGCTTAGTAATAACAATTGTAAACGTGCATATTTATAAAAAGCAAACTTCAATTGAAAGAAATGTCAATGTCAAAAAAGTCTAAGACTGTGTACAATGGGAACGACTCTCTAACACTAAGGCTGGTCGGGAAGATCCTTCGAGCCGGAGCCACCTGCCTGGTCGGTCCCTGGGCGGTCGCGACAGCTGGTCCTCCTCGGCCAGAGCCGCAAGGCGCCTGCCAGCCAGCTCCGGGAGGTCGGAGAAGTCCAGAGCAGGATTCCTTGCACACAGGGTGTAGATGGATCGCATCGCCCAGTCCGGGCCTTCTCTCCATCCCTCAGACTGATTCTGCATTTCTGCAGTCAGAGAAGTGACTTCTCCCCTACTCTCTGAAGCTCGGCCTCAAGAGTTAGTCTTCTTGTTCAGAGGCCCCTTTGCTTCTTCAGCTCGCTGGGCCCGTTCGAAGGTCGCCGCATCTCCTGGTCCTTCTCTTCGACCTCTTGGTGAGCGGCGCGGTTGTCCTTTGAAGCTCTTTAATCTCCTCCGCACGTCGGTCGAGCTCCGCCTTTGGAAATCACTGTTCGTAAAGCGGCGTCCTTTTGGTGCAGATACTGTTCGCCGCTTCGAACGCTTGTGTTCTTTCAGCTTCGACGGACTCCAAGTCTGCTTTAGCTTCGGACTCTTCCAGTGCTTGTTCCTTGCGTTCCCCAGCCTTGTCTTCTCCATGGACATCCTCATCGAAGCAATCCTGCGAGCAGAGTACGAGTTAGAAATAAATCGGATTGAATTCACAGTACAGCTAGTTTACCTTAGATGCTGAACAGACGTAGCCAACAGGTGTTCGCCGTGTCGCAAATTCGTCATACGACCTGATAGCTCGCAATCTAGCAAGCCATAAAAATTGGTTGCAGGTACTGGGCAGACTCCCCAACGAGTCTAAAACAGGTGCCTCCTTCGCCTTGTCGCTAGCACCCGCCTCGCTCACGGGCTCCTTGCCCGACCTTCGGATCCTGACGGACCAGAGGCTCTCCCTCAGATTCAGTCTCCGACCCTTCGGCTGAATCTGCTTCCTCTTCTTCGACCTCTGGGCCGGAGCCTTCCGCTTGGGGCGAGCAGTCGGCGCTAAGTGGCCTGTTCGTCCTGGTTGCCCCTTGCGCAGCAGGGCGGGGCTGAGAAGCTGGGACTGTTTGCACCGGCTGTGCCGGACAGGACGAGCAGCGTCACGCCTCCTCTCGATCCTCGATCGAGGAAAGACAAACGGTGCTCGGCGGGACTGCCCGGACTCCTTTGGGGGCATCGTTTCTGCATTCAAGGTCGTTAGTAAACGAAATCATTCAAGACCAGAAGGGAACCAGTAACTAACTTTTCGGAGGTTCTAAGGACGCCTGTCGCTGAAAAAACCGTACTTCCGCAAGTTCGCGGTGGTCCAAGCTTCCTCGCGTCGCGACTATCCGCGTCCAGTACTTCGAAGGATACAAGCCTGTCCGGGTCAACGAGTAGCGACTACTCGGTCGTTCTATTAACTGCAAAACAAAACAGGTCGTTATTTGGACGGTAGCAGATAATGAACTCAGCGAGAAAACCTACTTGGATCTTGAAAACGGCAAAGCGCGTGAAAAGAAAAAGAAGAACTTCGTCCTGTAGGCTCCCGCATTGCTGGGGTAGCTGTGGTATCCCCGCGGTAATGGTAGGTCGCGAGACAAGGTAGTACGAGTCCTTGTCCCTACTCTTCTTAAGGTAGTAGGCGACACCGAGCTCCACAGCCGTTGGCTCTCCCCAGCCGCTCTTGCAGCACCGATGTACATCGCGACAGTGATGACATACGCGTTTGGCGCAATTACATCGGTGCGATCCCGAAATGATCCAGACCGACCTGATGAAAGGATGGAAGGGAATCCTCCCCCACCCCTTGAAGATCTCCTAGAGATCGCGGCAAGGATCGGCCGGGCGCCGTGACGATCTGGTGTGTCGAGGAACACTCGCGCGTGAATATCGTACTGCGTCTTTATTCTATAAATTCTCGGAAGTGAGAACCGAGTAGACATCGAGGGCAGCGTCCCGGGGACTTCCCGCGAGGACGAGCTGGCTCCTTCCTCGGGTCTGGATGTTGACGGTTCCATTCCAGTCTGTAACATCGACAGACACGGTCATTAGGGCCTTCGTGTTCGTCCCATGTAGACACAGGACACCTTAAAATCTACAAATGACTCGAGCCGCCATCCACAGCTGCGATCCAATGGCGGCGTCGCGTCTCGTGTAAACGCCGGAGACCCAACGCCACTATTCAACCAAACCATGCAAAAAAATATATTATATATAAAGGAATAGAAAAACCTTACTCTCTGAGATGCGAAGCTAACGCCGAAACTCGTTTCGATTGCCTGAAAAACGCCGATCGGAAGAAAATTGTTCCTGGTGTGTAAAGATTTTCCTCTGAAGCAAAAGAATTCGGTGACTGCAAGTTTTTATATGAGGGTTGCGAATCGACGGTTACCACCCCTTGAAACTGAAACGACAGCCACTCTCTCTCCCGCCATTAAATGCGCCCCACGTCGCATTAAATGACGTGATATGGTCGTCGTTTCGGTTACGCTGCGCCACTAACGCTGCCAACGGTGCTAGCTCAGCAGCGAGGCATTTAATGTGCCTGACAAGCTAAACGCGCGCAGACCGCATGCAGCATGAAACCAGGTTCGTTGAATCTGTACAGAGGAGCGCCCCTCAGATCCAGGTCGCTAAGGTGGAGATGTCAGGTCGCTCTGACGGGGAACTGCGGGAGATCGTGTTCGCCAAGGGTCCTGTGCCGAGCTCATGGTGGCCCATGCAGGTCGGAGCGACCAAAAAACTCCGACGTGACTTAGTTTCCAAGGTCCGACCCTCGAACCTAAAAACTAGGGGGCTTCTGTTATGACCAAGAAAAGAAGGGCTGATGTGGGAAAGTCACGTGAAGGGTGACCTATCCCGTCAGAGCAGCACGCACACGTCGACCTGCCAAGTGTATGGAGCCCACACGCGTCCTTTTTTCTGCAACAAGTCGTGTGAGTCAGCTTGGGAAAGGGAATGGGACGTAAAGCCGGATTACATCCTGACAATCACACCAAAACTGGATTTAGTGATGATTATACGCTTCAGTCTGATATAAAATGAAGGAGACCCCTTCATTAGGGGATTCGCCATTTTTCATACAACAAAAGAATCTCCCTCTCCGTAATCATCTTTGACTTTTTTTATCTATGTAAGTCAGCTGCAGCCGGACCTGACACACACTAATATCATACAATCAGTGGACGTAGGACTTGCTACTTAGCATCCGAACCACTTAAAAAACTCCCTTTACATTTATTTCGCTTTATATATTCATTTTCATGTATTTTGAACAGCCAATCAGCGTTACACACTAAAATTCGTTGGTGCATAAACTTAGCATCAAACAGAAGACAATTACAAGCATCGAACAAGCAAATAAAGAGTCCATTAATTGCATTGTATTCGCCTCACAAATGGGTCATAAAAATATTTTGAAGTTGATCGGATGCTGCTTAGAGACTCAAACTCCCATTCTAGTTTTTGAATCTGTACAGTATTACACTTTTGCTAACCTTGTTTACCATCCTCTTGAACCCCATTTTAAACCTTTACCATTGACACAGAGATTAAAGATTGCAATGGAGGTGGCTAATGCAGTAGCATATCTCCACTTTGGATTTTCTAGGCCCATTATGTGTAGAATGTACAAACCAGGCTACGTTTTATTCAATGATAAAAATATTGCTAAAGTGTTTGATTTATCGTGGTCTGTGTCTATTCCAGAAGGTGAAACTCACATTGAAATCGCAGTGCAAGGTCTATTGGTATATATTGCACCTGAGTACTTAAAAAAAGGTAAATTAAATGAAAAAACTGATGTTTATGGTTCTGGTTGTCTTCTGATCGAGCTTTTGGCTGGAAACAGAATGTCTAATATTCTTCAAGCTGAACCAGACTATGACCATATATTAGAGAAGCTTATTAAGAAATATATTGAAGATGGGTATAATAAGATGGTAGATCCCATGATTCTTGGAGAGGAGCCTTGTTCTGGAAAAGACCTGCAATTGCAAGCTGTTACACAGCTTGCTGTGAAATGTGTCTCTGAATCAGCAGAAGAAAGGCCGACAATGATTGATGTGGCAAAACAGCTCAGGCAAATGTATCGCCTCTCCTAGTTATCATAGTTCAAAAAAGTGATTAACAATTTCCATTTATGATTCTATGTAATTTTTCAGGATGTACACCTTTCTGTTATACTGATCTTGCCCATATGTTAAAACTCTCTGAACTCATCTATTTTAGTCTTAAATCCATATATGAAACGCTTTCAGTACTCATGATTAACTGGGGAACATATTAGGCAAAAAATTGAGAACAGAAAAGCACACAAAAACTGATCCTTCATACAAAATCTGCACACATTAACATGATGTTCACCAAAGCAATTGAACTCACCGAACCTGTTCACAAATCCCTGATACAATAACTTCAGTACTTCTAATTAAATAGCCAGGAACATAAAAAAGCACATTAACTATCATTTTAACTGGACAACTGATACATTTGCTTAAGTTGTTTTGCCACATCAATCATTGTTGGTCTGTCTTCAGCTGATTCACAAACACATTTAAGAATAAGCTCTGTCAAAACTTGTAATAGCTTCTCTTTTATAGGACATGATTTGTCTCTAAGAAGGATGAGATCTACTACCTCTACAAACCTACCATCTTCAATGAATTTCATCACATGATTCAATAACAAATAATCAGCTCCATTTTTGCTGATCGAAGGATCATAAACTGTTGGTCCTGTCAAAAGCTCAAGAAGTAAAATTCCAAAACCATAAACATCACATTTCTCATTGCAATCACATGTAGTCATGCACTTTGGAGACTAGTTAGTAAATACGTGTTTTATATGTGTATTTATATATTTTATAAGGACTATCAAATTATACATATATAATGTAAATACTCGTATAATTCATAAATTATTGAAAAAAAAAAAACTGGGTGAGAATGAAAGAGGAAGTGCGTGTTTTCGTTTTTACACGCGTTGTAATAAAATTTAATCGGCGTGGTTTTGAGGAGATTAAGAATAGTAAAAGGATGCCTTTCAAACATGGAAGGCCTGCACATGTGGCAGTTGAAGTGAGGCTCCAAGAGACAAAACTTTAACCCAACATGTTCAGCCATAGTGCCATGTGGCAACTATGGCCCCACATGTAATGTCCTCAACATGGGAAAAGGTAAAACTAAAATTATAATATATTTTTATTCTTGATTCTCGGCTATTTTTTTTAGTAATTTTTTTTTTTTGAACTTTCTCAATGATTTTGAAGGATAAGTTAAAAAAAATATTATTTTAAATAATTATTTTTTATTTAAAAATATCAAAGAAACAATTAAATTATGTTTTTGTTATAGTAATTGATAGGTTTAATAATGGGATAATTCTGGTTAAGCATTGCTATAAGTAGATTGCTTTAATTGCTGGAATTTTCTATTTTCAACACTAAAATTTCAGTCCTTTTTATAGTAGTATTCTATTTGCTTAATCTTTTATTTTCTTTTCCTAATAAGATCTGAAGTAATAATATCATGGATAGCACGTTTGAGACATGGAAGCAAATAAAGTAAATCGAATAAAAAAAAGAAATTTATTTGCAATTTAATTTGATTGGACTGATTGGTGGGTGTCGAATCCAACAAATAATAAAATTCTCAATCTAAAAAAAATACAAATTGTAACAGTGATAAGCAAGGTTGTATCAACAGAGATTTGGTAGATTTATTTTAATGAAAATTAAAATAAAGAAAATGGGGTTTTGAAATTTCGAAGTGAAATAAAAAGAAAGCAATTATAATCAACTAAAAATTAAGGAGAAATCAATATCAAGCAAATATCCAACCGAAGGTTTAATTTCAGAATTGGTTCAGAGAATTGATCACAGATACAAGGATAAAATCTTCTATTCTTCACTAAATTGGTTATGGTTATTAACAAGTTCTAACAACCTATCTCTCCTTACTTTCTCGATAACCAAAACAAGCTCTTGATTACTTTCCTTGTTAATAAACAACCCTAAACAGGCTCTTAGGATTTAATCTATCGACAACATTAATAATTAGAGAGACTACCAAATCTAGCCAATAAATAAATACACAAGCTCGATTTATTTAGACTAGATTATCTATCTTCATAACATAAATCGAAAATCTCTCTATAATCAACTATGTTATTTTACCACTAATATTAGAACATTTAAACAATTACGGATTTAAAGTTCTAAATGACAATTTATTAACCTGATAATTGAACAACGGGCCTTTTGCATCAATCAATCAAGACAATAATTGTTAATAAACATAGAAGATATATAAATAGTGAAGAAATAAAAGAACACTGAAAATTAATTAGATATCACAATTCTTGAAGAACCAAAACTTCAATTATCCCTCAGTTGGAAGAAAAGTATTTAGCTACTCATAATTAAAAGAACGCCTAAAGAAAAGAGAAGAGAGAGAGAGAGGAGATAGATCCATTTTTCTTGTGAATAATCTCCCTATTTATAACTCCATCTAATAATAGTTACCCTATCTAGATCAGGAAACTAATTAAAAGCAAATCTCACCTTAATAAGGAGTCTTAGCAAATCCTAAAGATTAAGAATGGGTAAATAAATCTTTCCAGCTGTCATACATATCTTTTTCTCCAACAAATTCGTAACCCTAGGTCAAAAACCTCGGAACCAGTAAGGCGCGCCCACGCTTTATCTGCTGACTGCTTTTGTGAACATTCTGGGAAAACAGGACGTGCCCACGCTTTAAGCAAAATCCGCTTCTGGATTGTATCTCTTTTTGAGCTCTAATTTTTTCTCTCCAAATCTCTTGATTTTGAATTCAATTTGATTTAACTCTTTAATCTGCTCCAAAAAATACGAAACATAATCAAAATCCAAGATTTAAGCATTTATAACCATTAAAACGTGAGGAAATATAAAAAATATATAGATATTATGAATTCTTATCACTGATACATCTCAGAAGATCTTATTTGATACTGCATCCAGTTGACTGTTATTTAAAAACTTCTTCCCAACAAAATATAGTAAAATCATATTGCCACCCCTAAGCTTTCATGCATTTGACTTTGAATTTTGGTTTTGTTATGACTTATGTGTTTGGTTTGACACTATAGTTGAATCTTGGCTAAATATTATGTTTGAGTCTGAAGACTATAATTTGAATATCAGTTATATATAATGTATTTGTGTTATTGGTTAATTGAATACTTTGCATTTGAAATGCTACATTGATTTTAACTAGGTAGTCCATAAAAGTGTTAAAACTAAGATTGATATTGCCCTATTTTTCAAAACGTATTATTGACAATGCACCATATTAAACCCATATATACCCGTAACGTATTTTTCCCGTATCCGAATTTTATGACTAAATTTTTATAAACGTATTTTTTACCGTTTGCCATATTATACCCGTAAAATTCCATACCCTTTTTTTGCTGTACCTGTATTTACTAACTAAGCTCTGGAGCAATATATCCCACTGTTCCTACCACCACATCATTTATGTGGGTTTCACCTTCTGGAATAGTCAGAGAAAGTGAAAATCAAACAGTTTGGCAACGTAATTTTCATTGAGAAAGATTCTTGATGGTTTGATATTTCAAAACACAATAGGCCTGGGGAATCCAAAATGGAGATAGCTAGATAGGCAACTGCATTAGCTATCACCATTGCAATTTTGAGCCTTTGTGACTACTAAAGGCTCAAAATGGGGTTGATGGTAAATATGATCAGCAAGAGTGCCAAACTGCACAGGTTCAAAAACCAGAATGGGAATTCGAGTCTCTAAAGCATCCAATCAACTTCAAAACATTTGTGCAGATACTCATCCGCGATGAAAATACAATGTTATTGAAACAATCTTCACATTCATCCAGAATGTCATTGAACTTCACAATAGCTATTGTGTGGTCCTTTAGAGCACCTTTGTACAATTTATAGACATATCCATCTCTTATAACTTTTTGTAGGTCATAGTTGTCTGTTGCATTCTTGAGCTCGTTAGCAGAGAAACCGTGAATAAGATTACATTTACCATTACAAGAGGCAATCAACCTTTCCAGTAAAATTTGGCCATTCTTCATCAAGAATACTCATTCATCTGTGTTTTGTAAGTTCTTTCTTTTCCTCAAACAGGAAATCATCTATATCCTGTATAAAACCCCAATAAATATATTAATTTATACATATAAAACTGGCTATAGTTCAAACTGTTTCATCTGTTTGCAAGGAAATTAACGGATTCTTCTCAACCAAGATCACTGTCGAATGTGAAGAAAAGGGAAAATATGCTAACTACATTATAAGAGTTCATACATAGCAGTTACAGTAAATATTTACATCAATCAGGCTAAAAGGTTTATGTACCTGTTAATGGCTAATTCAAGTATTGACATGAAGAAAATAGAACAATGAATTTGAGAGAACTCCGCAATTGGCACTTACATATATATAAAAAAATAAACTGAATCTGAAGCTGATTTTACATAACTAGAAGCGATGTTTCTTGGAAGTAGGGAGGTCTTGTATATCAGTCAACTATATATGATTTAATTACTAAATGTAGTCTACTTTTCATAATCATGGAATTTTCAAAGTTGGCTCCAGGAAATTTTTGTCTAGTGGATTGTTGACTAAGCTTTTAGTGATGTGGAGTTGCAGAGAAAGTCAATTGTAAATGACAGAAACTAAAATCAATGAAAAGTTGCACTTGCTATCATGGGAAATTTAGACAAGATATTGTATAACAAGCTGCATAAAAAATGCATATACATATTAAATTTGCATGCCAGAACGATACATTTGTCTGAGTTGTTATGCCACATCTATCATTATTGGCCTTTCTTCTGCTGATTCAGAAAGACATTTAAAGGCAAGCTCTGTGAAAACTCGTAATTGTTGTTCTTTTCCAGGGAACGATACGTCTATAACAATTATAGGATCTTCTACCTTATTAACACTACTTTGTTTGAAATACTTATCCACACATTCCCATAACGAATGTTTATCACTAGTTTTAAGACATGAGAGATAAGTAATCCTTTGTCCGGTAAAAAGTGCTAGCAATAATGCTCCAAAACTATAAGC